GCGAAAAACGTTTTAAATCTATGCAAAATTAAGGAATCTATGAAATTGTGTAATAAAATAATATATTTGTTCATTATTTATGTTATTAATTTATATATTTGAAAGGATACGAATAACCAAAATCTTAGGAAACTTTTGCACAGAAAATCTCTTTGTACATTTTCTTCTAACCTGACACTTTGAGCAAGTCTGGAAAGTCAAACAATTTAAATAAATGCATTTAAAGCACTTTTAACTAGTATTAACTAACTATTAACTTACTGGCTTTTCATCTCCATCTAGAACTTCTTCCTTTGTAAATAGTTCTAAGCACTGATTTAAACGCACTTGGCCTGTTCTTGATGGAATTGGCAAACTATTAAAATAAAATAAATATTTTAGTTAGAGCATTTCAGTAATTGTGTGTCAATTACATAGTATTAATGAAGATAATTTATAATTACCTAAGATCCCAGAATGGATCGAATGTAACACTACTATGACCACATATTGTGCATCTTAATGTACTTTTTAATTGACCAACGAACAGATCTACAATATGTGAATCTTCCATGCGAATGTAACGTGCCCAAGACTCTGCAGCTTTCTGAGAATCACTAGAAGAAAACAAATTTTAGATGAAAATACCAAACCATTTCTTAAAAAATTTATAATAAAATAGATTAGCTTTTATTATTATTAATTGCAATCAAAAATTAATAGTTTTATAGTAATATATATTAATATATATTTAATATATTTTATATATTGCTATCATATCTATATTAGTTTCTGATTGGAATCTCATAGCTCTAACCACTAATCCACAGTATAATATATTTAACCCTGTATAATAAAGCCCTGTATAATATATTTAACATTGTAAATTAATTATCAAGTAGAAACTGTTATACCTTAAACTATCATCAATCTCAGTATTGATTCCTCTGGGCCTTGTTTTAACTCGATTAATATCTTCATGCAAGCCTTCCAATAAGTATCTTAAAAATTCTTGGGCATCTTGCTGTGCATATCCCATAAATCTTGGAGCAATCTTTTGTACTTGAGATTTTAACAAACTGGTATTTACTACTCTACTAGATCCAGGTGCCCACAACTCACTAATCAAGGAAGAAAATGCTAAAATTGAGTACAAAGTTTAAAAAAAACTTATATTGACAGTAATAAAATTTGTTATTTCAAAAACCTTTGATCAAAGCTCCATTTGATCCAATCTCACCACTGCAGCTATCATTTTTTACATACTCGGTCAGCAGTCTTGTGTTGCTCAAGCATTGTAATACACTGTTCATGAAACATGTATTACCAATGTTCCTAAGTCCATTTAAGCCTTAAAACAAATTATTTATTAGAGATTATAAATCATTATCAACTGAAAGTTGATATTTAACAAATAAAATAAACCTGCAATATTTTTGTCTTGTTCAGCTGAATTAGATCTAGAATTGGGTGTTACAGGAAGAGTACTTCTAATATTAGTTAATCTTTCACTCCTTGATGATTCCTATAAAATAATACAGAATTTACTGGATTAGAACTTCGGATAGAATCAATAATTTATTTATAGGTGTACTTCAATGTTAAATATATGATTTCATATATAATCTATATATAGATTGCAACAGGTGTAAGAGTCAATTAACATACAAAAAGTATATACTCAATAAATAATGATAAAAATAGACAGAGTCAATATTACAAGATACATGCAAAATAATGAATATATATATTTATACAGACATGTATGATTGTTGTTATCAAGTCATATTAGAATTCTATGATCAGAATTAGTATGAAAATAAAAATTAGTTTAATATTAATAATGTTAATTCAAAACTCAAAGTTAGAAATCATAAGTAATTTGCTTAAGATGTTTCATATTGTTAAGACATCTCTATATATGTATTTGCATAAGCTTTAATATTTAGTTTCCAATATCACTGTTTTTAGCACTTATCTTCATAACCCATGTACGAGTACAAGTCCATTTTCAACTTTAAAGTTAAACATTTTAAGCAAACTATTCACGAGCTCAACTCTGTCATTTCCTAAGCTACTTACAGAAATATAAGTTTGATCAGTCTGATATGTTCTTCTACTAGTGGAAGGCACAGAGTTGTCTACACCTATTCTTTTCAATGAACTTTGGGCGGAACTCTTATGGTTCATATTCTCAACCTCAGAAGTGGATACATCATATTTGTTCATTTCTACATGATCTTTTCGTAAAGCATTGTGCAAACTCTTGGTGTCAATATTACTATTTAACTCATCACAGCATGAATAATCTAATTCGGAATCAATAAATTTTATATCATCAATCTTTTGTTCTTCAAATATTGAACTACTTAATGGCTTGTTAACAGGAATATAAGATGGTATGTCTGATGTGTGATTTGTCGGGGATCTTTTAATCAATAAGTCCTGTGACGAGCTTAAATCGATATGCTTTGGTTTTTCTAAAGTACCTGCTAACTGATCCTTTTTTTTATTGTCACATTTATTTTCAACGTCTTTGGTTTTGACATCAAACGCCTTTTTGAAAAAAAAATTTTCATCTGCTTTGACATTATTTGTGAGACTACTAAATTTAGATTGTTTCTCAAAAATAACAGCTTTAGTTATGTCTAGATCTCCATGTAATTTTTTACTATCAATATCCTTGTTGTTATTGTGTTTTAATTCAGAATTGCTATCAGGATTTTGTTTTACATTAACATTATTTAATTCATCTAGTCCTAGATTTAAATTTAAATTATTGCTTTCAGATACTTTGGCAATATCCTGTGATTTTTTAATGCCTCGTTTCAAGCTGCCTGTCTTGTCAGTATTCTCCGGTTTTAGAATTTTTTCATCTTTTTTGAGTATTTTCTTGAGACTTCCTTGAGTATTTAATATATCAGAATTTGATTTTGTTGACACAAGTTTCTTAGTTTTACCTAAATTTGTCCATGCAGCATAACTGTAATTTTTACTTTGTGGAGAACCAAACTTTTTGCGTATCTCGGCAACGCTGCTGCCAAGTTTGTTACCATTATTATCAGAATCAAGGTCGTTATGAACTTTATTATAAGATTTAATTTTTTTCACACTATTGTCATGTTGAAGGGTTGAAACTTTAACTGGAGTATTGTCAAATTTTAAAGCTACATCTTTTGTTTTGCTAGTTAGCTTCTTACTTACATTATTAGATTTCGATAAATTAGAAATATCATATTTGGATATTGAATCTAAATTATCAGTCCATAGCCTGATGTCTGGGCAAGATTCCATCTTATTGTCATTTCTCCTTTTGGTCACAATGGGTTTTTTTGATTTATTAGACAAAGGATCCTCTTTCAGTAACTTATTAATATTATTTTTCCTTTCACTTAAATTTTTAGTACTAGTACGATTCGGTTCAGGAATGGTTCGATACACAGGCTTAGTTTTAGTACCAGAATTAGTAAAATTATAAGAGTTATTTTTGTTAGTAGAAGACAATGAATGGTCAGCATTTGTTTTATTAGTTTTAGTCCTGTTACATTTAGTATTATTGCAAGTTACATTTAATGCATTAAATTCTGGGGTTATTGTACTTTGACAAATTTTGCAATTTACCTGTGACTTTTCTTTCCTGGGGTCTGACAGTGACCTTGATCGTATCAGCTCGCATTTTGGGACATAATTTGCAGGAGAGTATTTGTTAATAATATCTGCAGCTGATGTGGCCATCACACGATTGTAAATAGCATCATTCCTTAAATTAGATGTATCATTCACAGAATCTCTTGTTCTCGATTCTGATCTCCTGTATCTATTGGTGTCCACAGAATCAGAAATGCCCTTAGAGTATTTTTGGTAACTGCTATAAGTCTTCTTAGGGTCGTCATATCGATAGGAATCCAATGTTGATGAAATTCTCGAATGTGTCAAAACTCTAGGAGTAATATATGAGGATGTACAATAAGACCTGTCTAATGTTGATGATCTATAGGTCCCAGAAGGTGGCAGGGACGAGCCACTGGTTGCGGAATAGCGCCCCGATATGACAGGCATTTTGGATCACAAATTTGTGTAAAAAGAATTCTGTAAAATCACAAAAACAAATTCCGACATGAAGTAAAAAATGGCGTAAATGATATACTATAACTTAATTAACATAATTTTGATGCACTAATTAAATAAAATATAAAGAAAATTCTGATTTCGCTATAAATAATCACGACAGTCAAATATTTTATATAGCACCATCATAAAATCCAATGTAAGTACCTTCAGCATTCAACTAGCAATTTAGCGACCATCATAGTTCTTGTTAGGTTAATATAAAACATATGTTGAAATTGATATTAACTTATTTGATAATTTTAAATACAAATTGCTTGAAATTTGCACATGATGGAAAATTCACAAATGTCTGTTCGCTCGTGTAATTATAGAATTCACAAAATGACGTCACCAGTAAGCTTTTGGCATGTATTGTGTGTGTTGCCAGACGTAAATAACATTTTCTCATGAAATAAGAGAATCTAATGTGATTCTTATAAGGACATAAAAAGTGATCTACACATACATATTAGAATCTAGCAAGAATGTTACTTTCTAGGCAGTAATATTTGAAATGTATTAGTAGAATACACATATGAAATCAAATGAATTTAAAAATAAAACTATCAAAACAACATATTTATTTAGAAGCTATATGTAGCTAAAATCTGCTAATAAGTTAGCTACAAAAACATGCGAATTTGTATACCAACATTTAAAAAAAAATGTCTTAAAGTGACGACTTTAGCTTCTTCCTCCTCTGGTTTAAAATCTTCTTTCACTAACTTTAAAATCGCTGCCCGGTGCACATTCCACGCATAAATTTCTCCTTTCAAGCAATTGACCTATAAAATCTATAATCAACAGCCGACATATTCACTGAGGAAAATCACACTTTAAAACCTGTAAGATACACATGTCTTTCTAGAGTTGACAAAAATCAATATGAAACTTGACTTATTTAGTGCGGTTCACAAGGTTACTTATCACAAGCGACCTTATATATTTCTATGAATAAAGAGCTATAATTTTTTAATTCAAATTATTTTTTAACGTAAAATGTCATCGTGAGGAAATCTCCTAGGCCGCCTTCGATTATATCTCCTTTGTTTACGGAACCAACACCTTGCGGGGTTCCGGTCATTATGAGGTCGCATGGTTCCAAAGTCATGAATTTGGAGCAATAACTTATCAATTCGGGAATCTAAAAAATAAAATCAGTTAATATAAACTATTTAGGTTCAAAATTAAAAACATAAATCAGAAGCCAACTAAACAGAGCTTCAGTACATGATAAAGATTTTGATGCATTTAAAAATTGCACAACTATTTTGTTAGACTTAAGCAGCTTTACCCAATAATTTTAACTAAATTATTTAATTTCCCTTATGATTTTTACTATTACTAATTAAGAGTCTATTATCTATTTATTATTAATTAAGAGTCTATTATCTTACTGTGAATATTAAATCAGCAGTAGTCGAATCCTGTCTGGTCAAACCATTGACCTTACACCAAAGTCGCACATCGTGAGGATTTGGCAATTCTTGTGTTGATACAAATCGACTCACAGGATTGGAAGTATCAAAACTTTTACTTAAGGCCCAAGGCAACCCATGTTTCATTGATTCTGACTAAAAAAAAACATTTATTCTTTCCAATTGATAAAATATATACATTAATCTCCTAGATAGATTATCACCAGATAACAAGCAGCAGTCATGTCTAAGCCAAGACAGTATCCTCCCACATAATCCATTGCTTCTTTTTCGCTAACATTTTTGCATCTTTTTCCAATAATGACTCCTAATTCAATTTCATGTTTGACATCTTTAAAATGAGGATTTAACTGTAAAATAATATATTTTTCAGTTTTATATTTTAAATAAAATAAAATTAGCCATCCTTTACCTCAATTTCTTGCCCTTCTACTATGTAGCAAGATGTTGGTTTGGTGAAAATTACAGGAACTGATGGGCGAGATCTTCCTGGAGGTAATGCTGATCTACAAAAAAAAAAAATACATATATTAGGATAAATTTACAAAAAACAATATCCTTTATCATGATTTTAGAATTTAAATTTAAATACTAATATATCAATTATACTTGTAATTGCTTGAAGCAACGATGATCTTTCTTCCTTGCCGAATAAACATCAATACAACAATATCATTTTCATCTTAATGAATAAAAAAACTTCGAATTTATTTCAAAACTAGACAGGTATCCAAAATTATGACAGCATAGTGCACTGAGATTTTTTATAAAATTTATGTGAGTTACAGGAATATTTTTTGCCAGGGTTTAAGATTAAATTATCTATCAGAATTTGTAATACCGAAATCACCGAATTATTTTAAAAAAATTACTTACTTTTTAGTTTATTTTACTTAGGTTTAAATTAATCGTTTTTTGTTTGAAATTACAATATATAGAAGTTATTGAAAAAACTGTTGCTCATATTTGATTATTTTTTTTACCCACACACATAAATACACACTTTTTCTAATTTCAGAGTTACTTTAAACGTCGATAAACATAAAATTATGGCAAATTGTATTTTTTGGCAAAAAGATAAACTTTTCGTTCGGGAAGTTAATTATAGCAATTTTTAATTAATTCTGTAGTTTGTAATATTAATATAAAAGCATGCATATATATTTATACAGCCGTGAAGATTTTTACATGTGATTGCACAAGTAAATAAATATTATACATTCATTTAAATATGTGAATATTGTAATACTTGTAATTTAACCCGGCTCCAATAATAACTTTTCCATTTTTCACAAAATTTTGTAATTGTGCACTGGTCATTTTATAAAGTATTTACCTTCACTTGTAATGGAATACTAAAACATGTATGTGTTGCTGATAGGAAAATTCTTGATATGTACTTTTCGAATAAAATTATCAAGAATGACCTCTAAATAAAGATCATGCGATGATTTAGAGAGATTAATTATTATTCAATCATATATGGAAAATATAATATATGATATAACAGTGATTTTTGATAACACTAATAATCTATAGAGTACTGCAACAGTTTTATTATAAAAAATAGAACGTAAACAAAATTGATACAAAATAAATGTTGCAGTTTTGATTGACAAAAATAAATTAATTATTTATTATAATGAAAAATTGCAATTTTCGGTGCTTTAAATATAGTGTAGAAGCAGCAATCGCGGTGTTTGCAAGTTAAAAAATCACTTGAAAATTATAATTTCATTGAATAATTATGAGTACATGTAATAAATATACATCATGATTGATTTTATGTCAAAATATACCTCTATTTGATACAATAAGCAGCCATTCGTCGAATTAAATGCTGGAATAATATTTTTACTTCTTCATCTCTTCGATACTTTATTTGTAAGCAAGAACAAAACACAAAATTAAAAAAAAACAATTGAACATTTCAATATAAACACTGAAAATTATATTTAAATAGTTATAAAATTAAAAAATAAAAATCATATTATTTGAACTTTTTTGACAGCAACGATTCTTCATCATTACTCAAATCGAACTGAAGATAGTGCTGAATGATGACACAAATCAAGTGTCGAAAAGTTAAAATTAAAAAAGTGTTAAAATTGCATTTTAATGCAATGAAGTTTCTGCTAATTACTTCACATATAACTATATATAAAATTTATACATAGATAAAAGAAGAATTTATATATTATATTTATATTTTTTTATTAAAATATGCATAATTAAAAATACAGATCGATTTTTCTCGAAACTCCAAAGTCCGAACGAAATCATGCATGCCGTAATAGTTAAAGAAATGTTGCAATTCAATTATTCCATGCGCGCTATCGTCCAAGCGTGCCAACATAAATCGAACAAAAACCAATCAAAATTATACACGTATGCGATGCATAAGTAAAAACGTAAATACAAATGCTTGTCATCGTAAATTATCAGATTAGTAAACGGTATCATTGGAAGATCGAATAAAAGTTATATGTTTTAAAGAATATCAAGTGTAAATTAAACGCGATTTAAATTTATTGTAACATCAAAATGGTGACTTTGACATCTTTTATAAATACATTCAACAATAAACTGTAAGTATGGATTAGTTAATTAGTGTTAATTGCGACTAGATATAATGAAACAATCAGGTGTAATCAGCACTTTTTAAAATATAATTTTTGGAGCCTTTGGCTGGCTGTCAGACTTATGAGAAACTCCCTTAAGTTCTATTAAATTCAAGGACTACAAATGGCTGTTTACAATTACTTAATCATTTTTGGTATTTTGGTATTTCTTTTTGAAACAAAAGTGACATTATTGTTTTAGAACTATCACTGAGAATTTCTCAGGGTCAAGTTGAAACCTGATTGTACAACTTCATTAGATTTAATAAGCCTATGATAGAAAACTAATAATGGAATTTTTGAGTCTGAACACACCATTTATATATAAGAATACTATTTTGATGAAAACAGGATACATTTTTGTATTGTACAAATACAAATATTGATATATTGTATTTGCAAATACTTAGTTTTCATCATTATCTACTGCATATTATTTAGTTAAGTCTTGATAAATGCAACAAAATAAATTCAGTTACGATATTATCTACTTACCATTTATCCAGGGAAGCGCCAGTCCAGCAACATCTGAAAGGCGTCTATGGGTGTCTGGCAGCTACAACATCATTAGCTAGTATAGGGGCTTACAGTTTCCTTGCAGGATGGCTCTCAGCAGGATTGTTGCCAGCTTTAGGAGCCCTAGGATTAGGCTTGGGCTTGATGATGACCTCTCCAGATGCCAAAAATTTTAATATGAGACTAGGAATGCTGTTAGGATTAGGATTCTTGTCAGGTATTCATCATTGATAGCTCAATTATCAAAGACTATGTATTGTTTTTCTATAACTTCTTGTTGTTCCTTAGGTTTAGGATTAGGACCCTTACTAGCTCATGTGGCCCAAATCAATCCAAGTATAATAACAACTGCATTATTTGGCACTACTTTAGTATTCGTGGCATTCAGCTTATCAGCAATATTTGCTGAACGTGGAAAATGGTTGTTCCTGGGTGGAATTATTGTCAGTGTTTTGAATATGATGTTCTTCTCCTCTTTGGCAAATATTTTCTTGCAAAGCACTTTGATATACCAGGTAAACCATAATCCAAAATAACAAAAAATTAATTGAATCCAGCAACTGATCAAGTTTTGAATTGCAGGCTCACCTTTATGTAGGCTTATTTGTTATGTGTGCTTTTGTCCTTTATGATACACAAGCTATTATTGAAAAATTCAGAGCTGGAAGCCGCGACACAGTTGGGCATGCTTTTGACTTATTCCTTGATTTTATTGGAATCTTCAAACGCCTTCTTATCATCTTGAGCCAAAAGGTAATTTCTGTTATTTCCATTTCTGAGAAATTATTTAATGAAAGAAATTTAACCAGAAAAATTGTTATTACAGGAAGAGAATGAGAAGAAGAAAAGACAGCAATAAGTTCTTAATTTAAGCACCACATTATTTTAATATTTAAAGAATACTATTATATACATATTATACATGGATTAGATAAGTCTTAAGTTGTTGAATATCATTATATTTTCAAATTTATTGCATTTATTATTTATTAAACATTTTCATTTTTATTTCATTAAAATTAGATGTAAATAAATTTGTTAAATAAAAACACCCTCCATTTTTAGAAGTGGTACTCACTAAATTAGTTTTTTCTGATTATATACTATACCTTTTTATAATACCATATATTAATTATTCTTAATCAAGGAACAACATTAAAATCTTAAAATTTCAAAACCTGCCCCAGTTTACCTTACCTTTTGAGCCTCTATAAAAAACATTAATAGGACATCTTACTACTTTTTATCCTTGTTTCTTCTCAAAGAAGTTACTTATTTTTAGTCAAAGATATCTATAAACAAAAATAGTAAATCTTTGCTTCTGAAAGTTAACAATAGTATAGAAAGAAGTCTCTCTAAAATGAAAAAATAGTTAATTATAATGAGAATTGAGTCTATTATAATAATGCCATCATTTCAGCTTGGAACAGATAAGTATATTCTACAATAAAAATACATACATCTTAAATCTAATTTAATGCTATTTTATGTTGAAAACGATGAAATATGACACATCATAAAGTTTCTGGATATATTATATAATGCTTAATACCAAGCATTTATTTAGTCTCATGCATTTTGTTTCATGGCGTTTTTAACATATTTATTCATTAGATCACATTGCTTTATTAAGCGAAATCTTACTTTAATCAGTTTTGAGTATACTATCAATAGAGAATTTTAATTACAATCAAATTTGGAACAGAATTAAGACTTCTTTCTGTCAACAGAAACACTCGCGCCAAATATACTTAAGCAAAAGATTTCATCTATGCAGATATCAACCACAAAAAGCATTCTTAGTTTTACATAATAGCTAGTAATTTGTTTGCGTTTAATGAATTTCGAAAAGGATTACATTATTTTTTAAATATATGATTTATATATATTTTAGGATATAAATGGAATGGAGGGATATTATATTTAAGTGTTTTTATTACGTATATCGTTGCAATTTTGATTAAGACCTATTTAAGTATTCTAATCCCTAATTCACTTATACTGGAGTTGGCAAGTCTTCAAAGAATTTCAAAATAAGTGCTCATTATGCAAAAATATCTTAATTTTTTACGAAATTGTTAGATTAAAAAGCAAATTCCTGCTTGACTCATGGAAGTTAAAGACATAATATGTACAAATATTGATAATAAATAGAATAATTTTAGTGGCAGACATTATTATATCACGAAAGCATTTACATTATCAGTTTATATTTGCAAAACCTGATAATGTGTCTAAATTTGTAACAAAGTGAAGGATATAAGCAATTTAATGTATTGTCCAAAAGTTAATAATATATGAATGGCGATGGAAAATATATCACAATCAAAATATATACATATAGTATACTACTCTTGCTGAAATATTTCATTAAATTTACACCTATTGCGATCTGCAATTGTCAGAGACAAGAAATAATATAATATTACTAAATGGGAAGTCGAAATCATTATATGTATATGTATATGCATATACATATATGCCATTTACTTACAATTAAAATATACCTAATATTAATTTTTATCATTTTTGTTATCAGATCTAAATAACCAGGGCTTAATTTATATATAATCAGATCATTACAGTCAATTTAATATATTTAAAGCAAAAGTTGGATGTAAATATTCCAAACACTGTTGTAAGTGCCCCCTCAAATATAAAAATGTGTTTATATAATAAAGTGCATTTTGTTATCCAACAATTTCATATTTAAATTATTTGAAATTATGGACTTGAATCAAAATGTTTACAAAAATTGTATTTGGTATTCTTTTTATATCTATACGCTTTCTATTTATAAACTTAATGAGACTTTAAAAAATTAAAATTTTGATAATCATATCCATCATATCAGCACATATTTTTTAAGTTTAGCCATATTTAATACATAAAACTATTTTGAGGTATTTTACGTATACATAGTTTACAATAAAACAACAATCGTATACCTGTTTGGAAAATAAAAATCTTACAAAATATAATTTCTGTTTCAGAATCAGTATACAAATTAAGTGGATCTCAAGATTTGTTATTTAGGACTAGAAAATCGTATATAAAAATCCAAAATAAAATTAAAACTTTTAAGACAAGCTAAATTAAAATATAGAGTTTGTTAACATCAAGTTAGTAATCATCCCCATACGATATCTTTAAGATAAATGTTATGAATATTAAAAATGTTATTTGATGACTAAATCTGAGTTTGCTGCAAACATAAAAATCAAATTTTGAGAAAATTTGTTGAATGTACATGCAAATAATAAAAATAATGTCTCGCAAGATAAGATAGTAAAAACTTCAATTCTTATTAACTAGAAGTTAACAATATTATACAAAAAGCTTAGCATTTTAATAAAAATTATTATTGCTAGCCCCACATGATTTAATAAGGTAAACTGAAATTCCTCAAACAGAAATAAATATAAAATGAACTTTTAAATTTTGTGGCGCTAGCAAGTATGTTAATAATAATTATCATACCACAATTCAATGGTTATTTTCAGTAGGTATACTGTTTTGAGATCTATCAATAACCAGACTATCCTGGCTGTCTTCCTCATCAGAACTGCTACTCAGAGCACTAGGATCTATTCTCTGGTCTAACATTCCACTAAGATTATCAGGCCAAAAGCGTTTTGCTGAACCAGCCTTCTTGCGTTGAGAAACTGATGAAGTCTGAGCTGAATCTAGAAAAATATAAATAAAAAATATAACTTGGACTAAAACATAGTATTCAGGAGAAATGTAATAAATGACATTGTTTAACTAAACATGCACTATAATTAAATAAACTCAAAAATAGTCATATTTAAAATACAAAACGTTTATAAAATTATTCTATATATATATTCTAAAATTTAGGAATCAAACTGGCAATATATTTCTGTTTCAATGTAAATTTACACATGCATATAAAAAAACTGGAGTCCTAAATGTACATTATGGGAATTCATATAAATCATACCACTTAATTTTAAATACTTCAAACAAAAGTTAAATAAATTATGTGTATTTTAATATGTATAATATATAGTATTCTATATAATTATGCAAATCTAGAAGACAATCCTAAATTAATTACTAATTTATGTTTTGTCGTAGAAGTCACACATATTTTTGGGTATTTTGTTTACTGACTTCTAATATTAACTATAATACCTGTAATCAAAACCAATTATTTATTTATTGACTATTGACCCCTATTGTGAAAACCATATTTCTTTTAATTACTCTACAGAATAGCCTTATCCTTTTCAACTCTAAATTACCTGAAAAACTATTTTGAACCTCTACCTACAATTTACTTTCATATTAAAAATCAACATCTTAATCTTACTATGAGTGAATCTGGTTGTCACAGGTACTTCGTTTATGTACAGATTTGAAAACTTAATTTAAATCCTCTTTAATTATATGGAAAACTTGGCCTATTATGACTATCTAAACATAAACTATTCAAATATAATAGTTTGATGGAAAATTGTCATTGATACCAGGGCTATAATGTCCAAAAGATCCTAAAATATCCATAAAAATTTATTTGAATTTCAATTCCGGAAAATAAAACATAAAAGATATTTTGGAAAGTGTAAAATAAAATTTAGCCAAATTTTTATTACCAGCTCTTGGTGACTGACCATCAGTAGCTTCAAGCATAGGTTGCAAAATTCTTCTTCTCGCATTGATAAACCAATTATTAACTTGTAATAGTGTCAAATTTGTTTGAGCAGCTATATTTCGCTTTTCATCTTCTGTTGGATAAGGATGCTGAAACAAATTTTATATTATTTTGGAGCACTTGATAAAAAAATGATGGTATATATAATTTATTTCTCTTACAACAAGGTGTTGGAATAGCCAAGCTCTCATTACACTAGTGGCTTGCTTAGGTAAAACTCCTCGCTTTTGACGTCTGGCACTTGTTCCACTCACACTCTCACCACCACTCTCCTGATCATCTGTACTGGGCATTGGTGACAGTTGACCTGCAGATAAAAAATAATTATTTATATAATACAATTTCTAAGTTTTTGGCCCTTGATGCACATTGAGATTTTGATTATATATACCTGAGTAAGCGTCTGCTCCTGGTGGCATAAGCCCAGCACCAATTTGGCCAATAGGTGTAGTCCCCAAAACTATGCCAGCACTATCAGATCCTGACGCTTGTAAGGCTGGACTGGTAGAGTTTTCCATGTAAGCAGCACCTTAGAATAAAAAACTGAGATGTATATGATTGCTCCAAAGGATGCATAATGTAAAAAAAAAATATTATTAATACCTGGATTTGGCACAACATTATTATAATCTGGTTCTGAATTAGCATATCTATTATTTTGATCAGAGCAGTTTGTAGGAACATAATTGAACGCGTTCTCTTCCGTATAAGTGTGACTAGGTGCATTCAATGACTAAAAAAAGCCAAAATGAGAATAATAAAATTAAATATTAAAATTTAAATATATACCTGTGATGGACTATTATTTAATTGTGTAGGACTATTTGAATTTGAACTTCCAACGTTGTTGTTATGCTCAAGAGGACCCATTCCGCCTACAACATCAAAAAAAATAATAAAAGCAAGGTAAATTTAAAATAAATATTAATGTAAATTCAAGATACCATTATAATCGGCTCGTAGCAAGTTTTCTGACTGCATTTTGCCTCGTAGGCAGGCAATATATCGGCTGCAAAAATCTCGACATAATTCTTGAACTTTTTCTAATTCTAGTAAGTGTATTCGGAGGACTTGTAGAGCTTTGATCATCTGTAAAATTAGACACAAACTAAGTAAAATGTACTAAACCATAAATTAAAAATTATGTAAGTATAAAGAGTGCTTATATATTTATGAATGCATATTTACTTACAAGACCATCTAATTCAGGCTCATCGATCAGTAAAGGCCTCCTCTCTCTTTGCTGCAACTGTACAAATGCCTAAGAAGAGCATTATTAAGTTATTTTCTGGATTTTATCGTTTATAAAAAGTTAGTCCAGACTAAAAAAAAATCTTCACCTGTAAATCTCTAGAAAAACTATCTTCACATGGTGTGGGCGTTCGGTCTTCATTATTGGATTGCTGAGATGTGCAGCCTTGTGTGGCTTGTTCACAACGTTCCAGCAACAAAGCCAATAGTGGAAACAAAGGATGTCTAGAAATAAAAATAACTTTAATATATCTTAATAGATATAAATGCAGAAGATAATCTAGTTATATTAATTTCTAATTACTTGTAAACCGCTCGTTTATCAGCTTCAAATTGAGCTTGGTCGATTGTTACAGGGACCTCTGCCCCAATGAGGGCGCTTTCTTGCATAACTGGTATTCACCTGGAAATAAAAAAAAACATATCAAGTAAGAGCAATTGGACTGGACAAACTGCAAGATCAAAGATCTCAAAACAAAATTCTTAGAGCCACGTAAACGTCTCCTGGTAACCAATGAGACCATCCAAAACGACTTAGATTTTTCAACTAACCAATGAGTAATGAGGAAGAGGCATTCTCATTCTCAGTTCTTAATTTTTCAATCTGCTGATAATTTTTTCATCTAGTTGTTTTTTTTATCAATTTCTTGAATTTGTGGATTTGGATGTTGGCTAAGTCAACTTATGTTGATACCTATATCTCATTCCTGGCACAATGAGACCATCAAAAACGACTTAGATTTACCAACTGTCCAATAAGTAATCAGAAAGAGAAACACATGAGATATAGGTATCAACATAAGTTGACTTAGCCAACATCCAAGTCCACAAATTCAAGAAGTTGATAAAAAACAACTACAAGAAAAAATTATCAACAGATTGAAGAATTAAGAACTGGTATTCACCTAAAAATAAAAGAAAAACACATTAAGTAACAGCGATTGGATTGGACAAACGACATCAAGCTGCAGGATCAAAGATCTCAAAACAGAATTCTTAGAGCCATAGTAAAAGTTTCCTGGTCTCATTGGTTAAATGAGACAATCCAAAACGACTTAGATTTACCAACTGTCCAATAAGTAATGAGAAAGAGGAACATGAGATATAGGTATCAACATAAGTTGTCTTAGGCAACATCCAAATCCACAAATTCAAGAAGTTGATAAACAAATAGAAGAAAAAATTATCAGCAGATTGAACAATTAAGAACTGGTATTCACCTAGAAATAAAAGAAAAACACATTAAGTAACAGCAATTAGATTGGACAAACGGCATCAAGCTGCAGGACCAAAGATCTCAAAATAGAATTCTTAGAGCAATCGTAAACGTTTCCTGGTAACCAATGAGACCATCCAAAACGACTTAGATTTACCAACTAACCAATAAGTAATGAGGAAGAGGAACTTGAAAAATAGGTATCAACATAAACTTAGCCAATATCTAAATCCACAAATTCAAGAAGTTGATAAAAAACAACTGGTAGATTGAAGAAAAAATTATCAGCAGGTTGGAACAATTAAATCAAGGAATTTTTCACTGGTAAGGACCTCTTCACAAGATTCAATATGAGCATATAGAAATGTATTTTATTTCTGAATGATTACCTCAACTAATATAAGATCAACTACTATACCAAAAGGCAAAGTAACAAGAATAAATTATAATAAGCGTTGAAAAACCTCTAGTTCTTAAAAAAATGTACTGTCCAATTACAATATTTGCACAGCAAATTAATTATCCTCGTCACCTGCCATTATAATTAAAAAATCATGTGAAATTCGTCGACCACTCGAATAATTTCGATGCAAATATGGGAAATTTAATTTAGAAAGCAAACAGATTTTGCCTGTAACCACTTTGGTGGCTGTCGATTTGCTGTCTCAGCTCGTTTATGTAAATATTACTATGTAGGACTTTACTTATATGTTAATAATTTTGGATGCCTGATGTGCACTTAATTAAATGAAATTTTGTTCCATCAGAAATGAGGCACTTGGGCATTTGAACAGCCTGGTGAGGTAGTTGTTCGATCAAATTGATAAGAGGTAAGTAACTATTTTACCAAAATATGAAGTGTTACCATAAAAATTTGAAACCGCACAAATTAATTACCATTTTCAATTTTTTATTATGTGTTTGTACCACTTGCCATAAAATTTTAAATGGCACAAATTAACTAAAAAACATTTACTAAACCATGAATTATAACCAACGTAGTTTCCAAAATTTTCTTTTATTAGTTTTTATCACTTACCATGAAATTTTAGAGATTGAAGTGAACAAAAATTTAGTACCTACACTATGAATTAATTTTTTTTATTGAAAAAAATGCATGTAATGTTCACAATTTTCACAATTTTTACTATTTTCACTTGAAATACTAACAAAGTACAACTTTTGCTCGAATCCTCTCCAAAGTCTGAACGTGCAGAGAGCACAAAACAGATGCGTTTAAATTTTTTACATTATCGACAGGATTCAAATGGGTTTGTCAAACAAAATAAGTATGTGTGTGCATTGCATGATATTTGATATATTTAAATTATTATCTACACGTGTTACGTATTGCTTGTCTTTCACACTTTTGTAAAAACAATTATTTTATAACAAAATATGGTGAATTTTTCTCTACAATGTTTTTATTTCTTTGTAATGTTTATATCACCGTTGAAATCATGTAAAAATATATCATAATTTAACTGAAATAACATGTTTTTACAAGATCTGTAGACTAACCGAATAATATATGTTTACCAATTGAATGAACTATGACCAAAACTTATTAACCCTAAAATTAATTTTGAGAAAATTAATATTTTTATCGATGGTACGCCCACTCAGATTCATTTAATTCATATTTTAACATCAAAATCAAAAATACAAAATATTTATATGATATAATATTTTTTAACTAAAAACACACTTATTACACAAATTTATTATATCATTTAAAATTAAATCGTGACGAGAATAGCTCACTCAGTAGCGTTCTCGACTCACACGCTGGAGGAATTCGGTTCGAATCTCCAGCAATACCAGAATTGAAAATAAAAAATATTAAAGTCGATTAAGAATTGTATTTTTGTAGAATTGTTAATTTGTAGAATACAAGAAAAAATTGTATTAGAAGTAAGAAGGAAAAAAGAAGTTTAGTTTAGAAGATGAGAAGAACATATTGAGAAACAAGAAGAAGAATGAAAATTGAATGGAATGGAAGAAAGAAAATTGAATAGAAGATTAGATTAAGAAAAATAATATGAATAATGTAGATGGCTAAAAATTCTGTAAAGCGGAAGCCAATAAAATTAAAAAAAAAAAAAAATTAAATCTGTTATATATATACATATTTTAAATTCCCATCTCACCAATCTTTCACCATTTTTTCTGGATGTTTGTATTAAATACAGGTAGCATTGAGAACACAGCTACTGGTTTTTTGTTTTATTTTTCCTATTTGTCGAAATCATTTGCACGATGTTTCGGACCGACCGAACACTGTGATAAATAAACAGACGTTAAACAGACAATATTCGTTGAGCAAATATATGAAAATGGTCTACCGCAGCGTTTTAAACAAATTTCGAAATGTCTTTGAACGATTTCGAAATTAAAATTAAAACTTTGGGTTATAGCTTGGTAAATGACTTACAATAATCTGTAATAATAAATTCATCTTATAGATGATAGACCCAAACCCACGCCAATAAAAGAAATCATGATGGATCAGTATCCAACAGCTCATTGGAAGGTAAAGTTCTGTTGGCTGTAAAATATAAAATGATACTAAAAACTAGTGATGTATGATATCGTGCCTTAAGGCAAATTGCTAGAACTTCCCGTACCGTAATAAAATATTCAAAGAATAATAAATGTTTTCAAAATAGATTGCTCCGTTCTCTCAAAAACTCGATTTCTATTTTCTGCACTCTTTGCTCCGTATCTCCATAACAGCTGGATCTGCCTTTGCCAAAAACTAATCAGCATATCTACCTATCAATAGGAATCGAATGTTTTTGAACCATTCGAATTGGTTGACCTGTGCCCAAAAACATGGACGAAAAGTTGTATCCAAATATACATAAACACACACATCCATTTATCTAAGGAATGCCAAAATGTTCAGAAACCTTCCAAACGTAAAGTTGCAATTTCGATTTTTGAAGGGATTTCCATCTCATACAATTTTAAATTTTATTTTTATAGATATTTTTTGATAAGATAAAAGTAAAATTATAATTTAATTTTCATGCCATTTGTGGAAACTTTAGTGCATCAATATTCATATTTGTAAATACATTCAAATTACAGCAATTTACATTTATATCTGCTGAAATATTTGTAGTGGGATTATTTAAATAGCTACTGTAATTCCCAACTAATAAAATGTCGACGTGTCACATATGTTAAAATTCAATATGAATAATTTTATAAATAGAACATTTTTCTGATATATAAAAAAACTTTTTAATAATTCTGTAACTAACATTTTGGTGCCCATTTTAAGGCATATTATTCCTGATATAATTTTAAATATTCTCTACGATTAAAATAGAATTATTATCCAAAAGTCATATGTTTCAGGAAAGAGTTTTCACAAATGGCATGAAAATTAAATTACAATTTTACGTTTTATTTTATCAAAAAACATCTATATAATAATTAATTTTCCAAGAAAATCGAATTAGCCAATTTTGTCTTCTCGACGTTTCAAGTCATTCTGAACCGTTTGCCATAAAAATTGGATGAAGTATGTGCGTGCATTTTTTTAATTTTTGAAATCTGGTCAGAATTTTTCTAAAAAATAGCATGCAAGATAAATTTTGCACATTCCTGCTTGTAATTCTAAAAAAACGACTCGGCCGATTATCTCAAAATACAATGAGAGTCCTAGACAAATTTCATCAAATGGCTTTGATCTTTTGATTTAGTGCAACCATTTTTGAAAAAAACGTCGACATAAGGTCAAATTCTGGCTCACATGAACACACACACATGCTTGTTCCAATTTTGGTTTTCGTGGATTCAGGATGTCTTGAAACGTCGACAAACCAAAATTAGCAAGTAGGATTTTCAGGTGAAAATATAAACATCTCATTCAGGAATTTAAAAAATACTTTCCTCATCTATGCTTTAATATATAAATTAATCCAATGAGAATATACTTAAATGATATCAGCATATCAAAAAATTGTATTACCCCAAATATCGTTACTACATCCATGGCATCCCCTACTAATTTATTTTTAAACTAATCGAATTTTGGAAAATCGTCATAAAAATCCCCAATAGTCTGCTAAGTTAGTACATAATACGCATGTAAAACATCAATTTCGTACGATATCCTTCCCCGAAATATGTTTCGGTTGCATAATGCAAGGACGGTTTCATAAATTAAACATGGG